TTCTCCCAAGTAACAAGCGACAGGACGAGAGGAAACGGCCTCAAGTTGTGCCAGGGGAGGTTTAGATTGGACATGAGGAAAAATGTCTTTACTGAAAGAGTGGTGAAACATTGGACCAGGCTGCCCAGGGAAGGGGTTGAGTCCCCATCCCTGGAAGTATTTAAAAGACGTGTAGATGTGGCACTTAGGGACATGGTTTAGTGGGCATGGTGGTGTTGGGTCGACGGTTGGACTCAATGGATCTTAGAGGTCTTTTCCAACCTTAATGATTCTATGATTCCCTCAGAATTTGCAACTGAAAAAGTTAAAGCTGGCTTCCAAGAAAAGGAGTCGTCATTTTTTTTGTGTGTGTGTCCTCTGAAACATGAGTATTTTCCCTGCTCTACAGCTGCAGCTTGGGACAGTTGACCCTTCGTAGCTTCACAGAAGTTAAGGCTAAAAGCACCTGCTCAGTCACTTGGTCTGGTGACCCGTATACCAGAAGCTACCCACCACCACCCAGCAATACCAGGTTCTGAACACTACTTAGATATGTCAATCCTTTAAAAGGGTCTTTAAAACCATCATACACAAACAACGTGGGTCAGAAGTGCCATCAACACCAAGACTCTAGCCACAGCTTAAGATCAGAAATTAAAATTTTCTTAAACAGTGGTTTTCAGGTTTTTTTATGACTGCATTTCCACAGTCCTTGCACAGTAAATTAAGATTCACAGTAGATTTCTGTGGTGGGGTTTTTTGTTTCGTGGTTTTGTTTTGCTTTGGTTTTGTTTCATTTTGGAGAACTAAGAATACACAAAAGTACAAGAGTTTTTTTTAAAAACATAAGGTGAAGCAAGTTCCGTTGTCACGTGTCAAATACAGAGTACTAGTAAACTGATATCAGCTGATGCATTAATACATGAGAAAAAATAGCAAAAATTAGTTATAAAGAAATATTGAAATAGTATATTAAGACCAAATTATTTGATGCGATTTATAAACTGCTGTTGATTTAAGACTTGGTTTAATGAAAGTTTCTTTCTTCGTTTCTACCACTGCAAAATTACATGGTTCTTGATCACTGACCTGCTTCTGCATATTATACAGGAAATGGGAAGGAACAGCATCTCCTACAGGGCACCCTGGGATAGAAGATGAAGTCGAGAGCCACTTATTCTTTTTGGAGGTTACCAGTGACACAGAACCCAATTGGCCTTGCGTCTTCATTAGGTCTCCAGGCTGCCAGTCACCACCAAGGACTACTGGGCCCTGGGGATAAAAAATGACACCGAATTCCACTCACAGAAGTCGCAGCACAACAAATATTTCTTAGAGTATACTCTAAACTTAGGAGTTAAATTTTGAACCAATGAAGTTGCCATAGCAATGTAAGCGTTCTCTCTAACCTAGGGGAACAGTTTAAGGATGAAACGTTACTAGGTCAACAACATCAATGCTGTGTGTTTTTCCTAGAAGAACTGTCCACAACCATGACTTATAATTAACATGCTGGTTTCAAGGTCCTCCAGCTCTGCTCACAGCTACAGGGAGGTATAACTGAGATCAGCAAAAAGGAAATCAAGGCATGACAGTGCCCACAGGACATTACTTGCTCGGTATCATTGGTCATGGACCAGCAGCAGACATTGGTGACTGCTATTTTAGACTAGACTATCCAGGGAACATAGACTATTAAGAACCACATGGCAGTAGTTAATGAGTACTGCTCAAAAGGTGATGATCGCCATGATTTAGACTACCATCCTCCCTTCACACTATTTCATTTCCATTTTTATAATGGGTGAGGAACGCTGGCCGCTCTGCAGTTCAGTTTCTACTGCTCCAGTCACACACATCCTTTTCATCCTTACCAGCGTATGCCTTGTGGCATACTCACAACGCTCTACACACCAACCTCCTTCTCTTGACAATCTTCTCTGTGCTCAACAGCAGCTTAATAGTTTCTCACACCAGCAAAATGTCTCTTTAGTAAAAGAGATCAGTAGAAACTAGCTGGAAATTTAGCATTCCTTATGGGAAAATTTAATGTTATTCACTGTGTGGTCTACACTTTATAGCACCTGTGGTACAATTATACACATACTTGTGAATGGGAGAAAATATTATGCAGAACAATTAACTTATTTCATGCATTTGCATTCATGTCTGTATAAACATCATAATTGCTTGAGAACAGTAACTGTTTACAGTGAATTAAAGATAATCATAAGCTAATTTGGTTAAAGAAATACTGAAATACAGCTAAGAAACTCCAGTTTAGAGTTAGATTCAGTTAGAAAAGATTCAAAGCATCTGAAAAGTTAGTATTCTCCTTCATCTTGTTGTGCTGCATTAGAGACTAATGTTATGGAAGTCTAGGGCCCTTAGGAATCATTATTTTCCATAGCGTTAGAATAGAATCAAAGAGCAACTTAGATCGGAAAGTAAACCTGGAGGTCATCTAGTCTAAGCCTCCACTCAAAGCAGGTCTGACTGACTCTCTCATTGGCCATCCTAGCCAAGAATGCCAATAAATTAAGGCTTTCCTCACCTGAGATCTTGCAGGGGCACCTACAAAAAAGTGTCCGAGGAGTTAAGCTATATGGACACTGCTCTTTATCTTTGTCAGAGACACATTATACCCCAGGGGAATAATAAGTTTTAAATTTATCAAAAAAGTCATCCAACATATTTGATTTACAAAAGCTGATGCAAAAGGGAAGTACATTTATCCAGAGAAAACAGACATATATGCAATAAGGACAATAATTAAAACAGTTTTCCTTCCAGAGAAAAGGGCAGGAGGAAGGAAAACACTCAAGCCAAGTAAAAGTCCTCACATTCTGCTTTTTTCCCCCCAAAGTCTAGGGAAATGAACTTTGCAGTTTACACTGAGAGCCAAACAGATTCAAATCATTTCAAATCGGAACATGAGAGTTATTTCAAAAGTTCAGAAGCACCTTGAAAGGATTAACTCAAGTGTTTCCAGAGACTTTTGCAGTGGACTGAGAGGCTCTTAAGTGGGGAAACCCCAAAACACGTTTCAGGTTTTGAAGATGGAAAGCTTTGTTTAATTTTTTCCAAGACATCTAGTCACATAGAAGTAAATATCATTCTAGTCAAGAAATGAGTGTTCATCCTATCTATTTTCTACGATAATGCTTCTCAGCTATTGAAGTGAAACATTAAAAGGTCATGGCCTGGAAGAAAAGCATAAAACTTGTATACACAGTGTTCTGAGATTTAAAGATCTATGTGCTTTAAATGGTAACACTTTCCAGCAGGTATCAAGGCTTGAAACATACCTGGTACCTGCGAGCACCTCTGATGGTACCCTGGCACTATGCCAGCTTAGAAACCAACACTTGCAAGGACCAGCTTGGTGGCTTACGCCACTGTGGAACCCCGTTCCATTAATGAGCTGCTCTGCCTGGACAAAATGATGAAATTAAGCCCCCTCTCTCTCAGCAAGCTCTTACTATAATCTTTGTGAAGTAGACAGAAGTCACAGCTCTCAAAAGACAAAGGTAACACCTCTTACTGGTATGGGGCTAGCTCAAAAGCTTTTCCCCCCCTTACCCTTATTTCTAAAGAGAAAAATACCATTCTGCTAAAGAAACAGCCTGTTAATAGCTTCCAGAGAACCTCCCAAGTCATAAAACAGAAGGCTAAAGTTACCTTAGCAGCACGAAGTCGCTTGTAGATATCTGTCTGCTGTCTTATTCGATATTCCAAATCGGAGATTTGAGCCTGCAACCACGTCCAACGGCAAATAATGGCTGCTCTCTCCATCGCCCACTGGCACTCTGCATGGTGACGTCTGAAAAGCAAAAGTTTGTTTTTAGCGTTGAAACTGTTAAATGATAAGCAGAAGCAATCTGACAAATTCAAGAAGAGTTTCACTATTAAAAAGCAATTAAGAGTTTGTGGTGGATATAAGACAAATTAGTTTTCCCCCCACAAATTTTACCAATATCTAGCCTTAATTTACAACTCCTATCCCCAAGATAGAGTGGTCAATACAATTCTTCAGCTATGCAACTAAATATATTAAAAAGGAGCAGGTATCATTATTTTGACTATCACAAACTAATGCAGGTGTCCAGTCCTTTCTAGATAAGCACAGAAACGACTTCTCCCCTCTGCAAATTTGGGGGGTGGAAATCACAAAAAGAGAACTGCCTGAAGGGACAAAGTCCTAGCTTGTGCTGCTGACCACAGAGCAGGACTAACCCATATTTGTGACACTCCTCATAGCTGTTTGTCTGCAAGATTTTTAGTCTATTGCTTGAACCTCTGTTGCTGTAACAGAAGACCATCACACCAGTGCCATGTAGAACACCAGATATTAAAACACCCACACAGATACTTTATTTATACTCAGAGTAAGTATTGCCTTCACTGAAAGTTACTATTTGAATGAAGGTTTACCTTAAAGGACCACACCATGCACTCCAGCGGGTTCAGCAGCCAATGTGCTAAGCATCAGTCGTGCAGTAACCTTACTGGCCTCCCAAAAAAGCATCCCTGCTTGTCAGTCAGAACCTTCAGGCTACAGACAGACAAGCACTGACACCCCACACTACGGCACTTTAAGAAGCTGCCATGCCCAGCATAAATGACAGCCTGTGGCACCCGCTATAACACTTGGCACATGCATTATACCTATAGAAAAAAAAAAGACAGATAAGGTCCTGCATCCAATAAGCAGTTTGAATGTCTTTTGCTGAAACAGAAAAATCACCTTGCATAACAACAAGTTTTTTCATAGTTTTAGTGTTACAGTTTCAGTTACACTGCTTACTGAACAGACCCACAAACTACCATATCACTACGAACTGAAGCACACAGGTGGCATTTATTGACAAGAGCTTTTCCACAGAGGAAAAATATCTGATGCAAGTACATTCTTGAACAGCAATGGGGAGTTTTAATAAGCAGCTCTGAATTCAATGACCTAGGGGCTCTGGGCAATTCTCGGTTGCAGCACTGTGGAGGGGAGAGCTGGCATCTCAACCACGGAATACAGGACAACGCACACCTTTGTAGGCTGCAGGGGATCCTACAGCAAGGTCGTTCTTATGAAATGAAAGTGTTCCTCTCTTTCAATACCTGCACCCATAGATAAATTTACAATCCTAAGACGACCTTGTGGCTTAAAGACTTTCTCAGAGTTTTGTTATTTCTAAGCAATTAGTCTAAGAAAGATTTTTGTAGCTCACAAATCCTAAATACATTTAGCATTTGATCTGAATTTATGGAGATTAAAAGAAGCACACATTCAAATAATCCTCATAATATAAGCAAAATGCAGCTACACAATAGTACTTCAATCACTCTAGAGTTGGAAACAATGGCTAATGCAAACACCACTTCGTAAGTGGAAGTTTGTGGAGGCTCTGGCGTACGCTTTTTTCTTTTGCACCAATAGTTTGCAGTAACTTCAAAAATCTTTTAGTGCAGGCAGGGATAAAAAAATAATTTGTTTAATCTTCTGTTCTTAACTCAAGACCACTTACTTCACAATCTGATGTAATTCAACTCAAACCTCTATTGCCAACCCCACGGTGGGGAATTTTTTTTTTCTCTCTTCAGAAAGTGCTTGACCTACTTTATGCTTTACATCAGCAGCATGATGGCTAAAGAACAAAGACCAGATAACAATTAGGGCTAAAACCACTTTGGGGAAATGTTAAGAGGCTCCTTTTCATCGGTGTGGGGAGTCTGCTGAGTCTGCATAGGATCAGATGTGGCTACAGTTTAAGAACTCTAGTTTTAATAAATAAGCACATCAAAGAATTTAGAGCAATATATCAAATGTAAGAACAGAGCACTGACTAGATGAAAAAGTAAGGTCTCTCAGATAAAGAAAAAACTTTGGATTTTCTTTAAATTAAAGCTTTAGAAACAATTGGAAATCAATATGTGAGCAGAGAGATAAAACTCAGAAGGGGCCCCAAGCTAACAATGCAGCTTCAAAGCAACTTCAAAGAGTCCAGTTAGCACATCTGTGAACAAGCGTCTTCTGATTGACAAGTTCATGCCAAAGGGAAACCAAGACACAATTTGACTGACCAAGCACTTTGTAACGAGGTTTTTCCACAGGAAGTTTAGCTTATATGCACCCCTAAAAACAGACTAACTTTTACTGATGCAAAGACCTTATCAACCCAAACGCTGTACCTTCAAAGTACAGTTTACCTTCCAGCCTGAAATCCATTTTGTTGCAGACATTTCCTTTTATTTAATTCATTTTTTGAATACTACCATCTTCCTCTTCCAAAGATCAGGATTTTTTTTTCCCCCTCCTCCAAACATATTACAGTGAGAGCATGTTGTTTCAAATGCCTGAAAACACTGGAGCATCTAATCTGTTCTCTCTCAGTCTTCAAATGTGACAACACAACATTCAGAAGTTAAGGTGAACGGGCCTACTTTACTAGATAAAAAACAAGCACTGTTGGAAAGCAGTCAGCAAAAAGAAGTTTAAAAGTAATTCTGAGCTAAAGATGTCTAAAAAGAAATTAAATAATAGGAAAGAGTTTTCAGGCTACAATTCCATTCGGAATCGGAGCACTCCCAGAACTCCTTCCAACTCCACTCTGATTAAACAAAATCATAGATGATAACAGGGAGGGCCAGTGGAAGATGGTAGTGTCCTGGAAGTTGTGCAGCCTGAGAGAAACCCACTGCATCAGTTGGTAACACAGAGCCACAGAAAGATGAAAGGCAAACTGAAGGCTTCCTCAGAATTGCTACTTTAGCCTAAGAATTCATAAATGTACCAGTATATAGTGCAATATAAAAACCTGTAATAATGAGTTGCAATAGTCTACGTCCATGTAAGTCTTGATTATTTAGGGCTGGGTAAAGTGTCTCACCTCTTACATGTCAGCTGACTACACTTCAACATAGAGGAAGAACAAGGGAGGCAAGTGTGCAACTCATACCAGGTTGCAGTCTTAATTTTTCTTCCTAAAGAGCACAGTATACTAACTTTACTTGCATCTTCCGTTCATATCTTTAAGATATGGGTTAATCTTTCCCAATTGCTCTAGAAGAGTTAACTGCAACAAATTCAGTACACACATGAATTCTTTAGATGCACCTTACTGAATCTCTCAACCAGGCAAGTCCCCAGAACACTCAAAAATAGTATGATGCAATTAGAGTTTTAAAACCCAAGTTTCTGCACTACCAGTGCTTTCCAGATTCTAGTTGTACAGAAAATTAAGAAAATGCCTGGAATATGAAAAAGTCTTATCTGTAACAATAGCAAATTATTAGTACCAAATTTCTCTCGGGGAAAGTAATAAAACAAATTAGATCAGATACCAAGCATTCTGAAAAAATGCAAGACAATCTGTGGGAGCATTCATATGGATAATTAGCTAAATTTATAATACATTTACTAGTACCATTATGCAATTGTCACAAACAAGCATATTAGTATCTTTGAGATATCACAGCCTCCCACAGCCTTGATAATAATTGCTATACTTTAGTACCAAATCAATTAGAGCTTGGATAACTGTCAAACATTTTTTCTTTCTTTCCCTAGAGAAAGAGTAGCAAACAGACAGGTATTGAAATAAGTCTCACGGAAACTGAGTTTAATCAAACTGACATATAAAGTAAGCGACATGGTACAGAACTACTACTTAATAGGATGCAGGAGAATCCATTGTTCAGGGGACTAACAGGCAGTACATTTCTAGGGTATTACCTGAGAAGAAAACAGAAGCCCTAAACAAATGCATGAATAAAGTGGCTCGGTTATCTCACACTTTTAAATCAAGGTAGCAAACTTCCCCATTTTATGCATGTATAGTTCAATGGAGTTTATGACTTGAACATGGGACATTGTAGCTGCTAACAGCATAGTGTTTGTCAGAGACACCATTGGTAGATCCAACCAGCAACACCTTATGCACACCTGCCCCACCTAGACCAAAGCTGACAGAAAGTCAGCACCGTTTTTGGCCACGGACACTGCTCTCTGAAGTATCCACACAGAGTTACAGCAAAAAAACCAAGATCACCAACACACATGCACAGAAAATGCATAAAAAATCACCTATTTTAAGCAAGCTTACAAAAATCTTGTTTATAGACAAATACCTCTAAAGTCTTTCACAGGACAGACCACACGGTACCGACATTTACCTGACCAGGCAGAGCAGGTCACCGTGCTCTGAATTGGCTACAGCAGTTTCTCTGGCAATGCACAAAGCAGTAACAGTCCCTCCCTTCTCCCTTCTGAAACCTCTTTCAGAACTTTCAGTTCTCCCCCAGCCATTTTTTACTAACACTGAAAAGGGAAGACTACGTGCTTACTGACAGCATGACAATAGCAATCGATATCAGATAGTTTCTCTTTCAAATGACTTATCTGCTGCCACTACCAAGGTATGAAAACATCTGCAGAAAGTAACCTTCTGAATAGAGACAACAAACTAAAACAATGTCTGAAAGAAGTTACTACCTCATCTGTAGATACTTTGATGAACAAGGCTGTTCACAAGGATGCCGTAATCACAATTGACTTCTTGAGCCTGGATATCAGACTTTTGTTTTCAGAAGACATTTATATTGCTTGCAGTTTTCCAGGAAGCTTTCTCTCTTCCTCCTGACAATGACTCAAGCTCACCAGATCTAATGAATTAAAAATATTGGTTTCAAGATGAAACGAAAGGAACTGCATAAGCCTCAGATTATGTAAGAACTAATTGTTCACCTCATCTGCAACTGCACGTGTGAGGTTGTTGGGGTTTGTTTTTTTTTTTTTTAAGGTAGGTTTTGTGTATCTATATAAAAACTTGAACAGGCCACATTCAGATTACTAAAACAGTATTAAAAGAAATGAGATGAGAATATCAAACTTCTTGTGATTAAGCGAGGGTGTAGAAGGCTCTGCATCCCACAGCCCAGAAGAACGCTCAACCTGGTAGATCACCACTCAAAGAGGAAATTAATGCTTTTTTCACTAGAAGCTTTTTGAAAGTCCATGTAACTGTGGGTAGCATAATCCTCACAATCTGATGACACCGAATGGGATCACTTGCCTCAGGGAACATAAGCAGAAAACACCTCCTCTGAGCGTGCCAGATGAATCTCATCTGCACAACAAACCCCAGTCACGACACAATGGGAACACAGAAGCACAAAGATATTGCCCCAGGAATTTCACAGGAAAAAATAAAATCATGCATGCCCAGATTTTAAAGCACTAAGCCTGAGACCACAGTTATATTAGGAATAAGCATATGTACTCTCCAAGGAAAAAGATTTTCTAAGGCTAATTCTGATAAATTCTTTCAATTCTGATAAATGCTTTCACTTCAGAAGCACCTGAATTCCCCCACCCCTATTTTAAATCACTGTCTACAACAAGTTCTTGACAGGTTTGAATCTGCTCCTTACAGATTCACAGACTGAAGATCTATTTGGGTATTGCCTTGTAGTAGGGAGGTCAAGATCAGAAGATTATAATGGTTCTCTGCAGCCAGAAGAGAAACTTCACGTGCTTTTGCCATTTGTTTAGGTATATTACCACAAGGTAAGAATTTTCCAGGTGTAGTAATCCACATCTAGCTTTCCACAATGTTGTGAGAGTTACTACAATATTAACTGTAATCATCAAAATGAGGGGAAAAAAAAGGCAGTTACACAGATCAGTTGAAAAAAATTGCAATTTCAAAACATTGCTTTTGCCAGACAGTCTGATGTGAGAGGAAAAAAAAGAAAAAAATAAATCAGTGCACAGAAGCATATTCAACACTTAAGCAAGAAAGATCTACTATAAGTTACCTTTTTTGCCCCGCTTCAAATTGTATTCTTGAGTTGTTTTCTAGAATTTAGCTAATAATGCAGCAAGCAAAGAAAAATCAACATTTATGTTTATTAAAGAAAATATAATTACACAAAGTATCTAGAAATAGAGAAAGAACAAGACATAAAGCAAGAATCCGCAATTGATTTTCGAGCTCCTGTTGGGCCTAGTCCCATTCTACAGGCTCCATTCCCCATTCCACAATCCCAACTTCCCTCTGATGCTCCTTCCCTCAGCACCACACACAAAAAGCACTGATTAGTCCAAAACCAAACCAACACCAATTTCCATACATCTGGCTGGTCTTTGCTAGCAGCCACCTGCCTTCAATTAAGAGCAGAAGTTTGAACTGCTGCTGTACGCAGCCCATTTTCTGTGGATACCTTCCACAGGTCCAGAATCTAAACTCAGGATTGTACCCAGGTAAATTTGTTTGTGAGATAAAACACGCAACAGCTAAAATAAGATTTCACTCAGCCAAACTTAACTGAAGTATCCAAGACAGCAGATTTGTGAATGCCTGCGTGAGTGTACACGCAGAGGAACAGGGAAAGGCAAGCTTTGTGCAAATCCCACTTGGGATTTACACTGCTCCAATGAAAAAAACAACCAAACAAAAAACCCCAAAAAACCAACCTGTGAGCTCAACTTGGAAGCCTTTGCAATTGAGAGATGTAAAGCAGCCGAGATCACATTTCAAGTTGAAGCCAAAGTCAAAAGTAAAATAGGAAAATCACGTGCTACTTATTCTCTAATTTTTCAAGCCATTACCCACACCAAACGTCAGTATTTCATTGTTTCTGCACTAAATTATAAGTTGGAAGTAATGACATTCCTTTAGGTACGCTGTTTTATGACAGATATGTAGATTAAGCAACTAATCCATGATTAAAGAGTTCACATAAAAGTAAAGAACACATACAGGACTGTAAAGCCTCCAAAACAGCTGTAGCTGTTTACAGCTCTCTCAAACTAACCGTTTGGGTTGAAGCTGTTTGTTATGAAGACCAGCTACCCCAGAAATACTCACAGGAGTTACAGCTTTTGCTGTAGGTTAGTTAAGAAATAGTTGTTTCTTCACAGCCATGCTTCAACAGCATGCAGTTTATACGGCAAGGCCATTGACTGAAATACAGAGAAAACACTGAACAGCTGCCTATTCAGTCATCGGCATCCCATTCACCAAACAAAGCAGGGTTTTTTTCGGGGGGAAAAACACATTGTAACATAACTTAAAACAATCCTAACACAACACAAAAAGGTGCAGTAGCAAAAGCCTAGTATTTCCTAGGGGAATAATCCAACAACATCAGTATCTTTTAGAATATTCTGCTGCAAACTTTTTTTTTTTTTCTGTTTTGCAAGACTAGAATTTAGCAAGAAAAGTCAGGAAAAATACTTGAAAACAAAACTTCAGCTTAACATGCCTTTGCTACAAATAAATACAAGTGTACAACACCCCTCTGAAACATTTCAGTTCCCATAAAAATCCAAGCTGATTTACATTCAAGGGAAACCACATGGCAACTCAATAGGAAGAAAACTTAATAAATACAGAGTGTGTCTAAATACCACACATTTCTAAGCGTGCAGTGAAAGATCTGGACAAACAAGCCAGAGGAAGATAAAGAAGAGCAGTGCCATGCTGGGAAAGGCATAATTTTATGAAGTTGCCATCTTGGATTTATGCACAAGAATTTTTTGATCCATTTTTGACTGACAAGTAATCAATTCTGAGATTTTTTTTTTTTTTTTTTAAAAAAATTTTTTTTTTTTTAAATAAACAGAGGGAAGCAGGAAGACAACTGTACAAAGACTTAACTCACTGGCTGATGCCCTCTACTCTGCCACCTTCTCGGCCTCCTGGCAGATAAAAGCTTCCAACAAACTCCCTTGCAGTTTTTTTGGGGTCCTCTATCCTTATACGAGCCCTCCAAAGGGCTGCCACTCCATTACAGTTTTCATTGTTGCTCTCCGAATGCTGAGGGAGGCAGAATCAGGTCACTTCCAGTTTGCTGATGCTCAGGAAAGCTCCGAGGCCAAGGGAGACAGGAATGCAACAGTTCACTGGGAAGAGAGAGCACGCAGAATTACAGAGATTTCCATCTGAACAACCTCCGGGTTCTGAAGGGGAACGAGGACAATTAACATACAGAACATTTATTCATCATGGACAGACAAATAAAGAATAAGTTACAGTAGGAAATGGCAGAATATGTAAGTCTAAGAGACAGCTTTCTTAATTCTCCTTCCCTCCCCCAAGACAGTCATTCCAGCCATCAGTTTCCACTGAACAGGTCATCTCAGAGTGGAGAGAACAGTTACTTCAATAAAACAGTTAGAAAAAGACTAACCCGGGATCTCTACAACACAACCAAATCATAATAGGTGTCTAAGGCTAATTGCTGTCTTCCCTCTTTAGAGAACAGCAAACCTCAGAACACTTCACAGATGAAACCACACAAGGTACAAACGTTATTTAGAGGATCCGATACATACACTGAACTGCTCAGCAGATATATCCAGCAGGAATAAAACATCACCTGACTTTACAATCTGCACTAATCAACTTAAGATTACCATACAGAACCACTGCTGGCTTGGGTCTTTCGTAAAAGGTGATTAAATCTTCCCAACAGCTAGCAGTAGCCAAGCAAGGTAGCCCTGCTTCCCTCTCCTCCGCCCCAAGGGCTCCTCTTGGCCAGCACCTAAAACCACAAACACCAGCTTCAGGAGACAAAGTGACAGAACAAAACGCATTTTTCTACAGAGCTTACGGTTTCACACCATGAACCAGTCCACCCGCGAGCCAGAGAGGTGGCTGTGCTCAAACAGGGGCAGAGTGCGGGCCATCCCTTTTGCCAGCAGCTAGCTGTTAAGTGGCTTCTCTCTTACCAAATTGCATTCTTCGATGGGCCACACAAGTGCGACTTTTTGGATATAAAGTTGGAAAAAAGCAGTAAAGACCTCTGTTCTCATTACAGCTAGTTTTCAGACTGCTGACCACTTCACACACACAGGAAACAAAACCGATCATTTTGAAAGTCCTGCGTGTTTATTGTGAAATGCAGACACATAGCCCACCACTGAGATCAGCAACCCTGCCACGTGTACTGCTTTCTAGTGCACTTCAAGAACATTCCTGTTGCAAAAGCCCTTTAGGTGGGTTTGGAATAATACAGAAGACCATTGTCAGTGCCGACACTGGGCTTTTGAAATGCCTTTACCTCCGTAAAGGTGAAAGCTTTCTCTTCATATTGTTTGTCCCACCATCAACACCAATTTGGTTAGCTCCTTTCTAGAAACATTACCACAAAACAGCCCTATTCTACCTTTATTAATCAAACTGGGGCCAAACTTTATCCTCTCCTCACTCCCAGTTACATCAGGCAGTCTAACAAAAGGTCACTTCTTCCTACAAACCTGACCTTGCCCATATCCTTAAGTCAAAGTGGATACAACAGTGTTACGCTATGAAGCGGCACGCGTCGCAAAGGCTGTTCAAGCAACTCACTTTGCAGATAAACTGTGAACATCTCATAAATATTTCTGACCTAATATACGCAAAAACAACATGGAAGAGAAAGCACCATAAAAGCACATACGGTAAAGAATACTTGGTGTACAAGTTTTCAAGGAAAAAAAAACAAAACATAAAAGCTCACAAGGCAGATGAAGAAGCAAATACAGGATGAAATCTGCCATTCTGTGCTACCTTCGGACCAACCCCACCGCTCTCCCCGGCGCTCCAGCCGCCTCCCAGCAGCCGCTTCCCCTCCACGGGGGGAAACCGCAGATGCCAGACCCCAGCCACGTTTGCCCCCACGCACTGAAATTCGTACCCGACATGACAGCCCGCTCCTTCCCCCGCCAAAGCC